GCAGGATAAGCTGACAGGTGTCACTGACATGAGGATTGTGCAGGTATGAAGGGTTAATCTATCACAGTGGCCTTGCTTATGAGAAATACGAGAAACCATCTGCATTGCCACCACCCTCTGCCAAACCTTAGTGTGAATTATAAAATCATTACTACGAGGAGCCGTCCAGGGGACTGCTGGACAACGCAACAGCAGATGTAAACAAGACTGAGTGAATACAGACAAACATTTCACAATAGCAACTGAAAAACACATGCATATAGATGTACTTCATCAAAGGCGTTTTTTGCTACTTGAAAGGAATAAAAACAAATTCAGCTGAGAGTGACTTATTGACTTGTATAGCTAAACACACACGCATGCATGTCCAGATAAATGCCTTAATATGACAAAGTACAGATTTATGTATGCACAAACATGCACAACACACTTTTCACATGCACTCAAGGGCATCTACAGCACACTGCAAGATACAGCCAAAAAAATACAGCAAAACCCGTTTTCCTGCCACCTGCATGTGAGCTGTATTAACTATAGCAATGGGTGTTTTGATACAGTGCTTCCTAGGAAACTAATCCGAGAGAAAGTTAAATAAACAGGTCAGAGCAGCAAAGGACAAGGGTCACATCCAAACTTCACACTCTACAACTGTCAGCCTCTCGGAGTGGACAGGAAATGGCTACACATACATATGCAACCATGCACACCGGCTCTCACACACACAAACAGAACATCTTATATGGATGAATTATGATCTCTGCTGCAGCAGAGATTTAAACCCTCCACTGGACTTAATGCTTCAATGTGTCATAATGTGTTGAATTAAAAACAAGAAAGAACAAACTGGAGTTCATATTTAGCTACAACTGGAGGCGAGACAACGTAGTCTCTTTCTTTACCTACAGTATTGTTCAAAATAATAGCAGTACAATGTGACTAACCAGAATAATCCAGGTTTTTAGTATATTTTTTATTGCTACATGGCAAACAAGTTACCAGTAGGTGCAGTAGATTCTCAGAAAGCAAACAAGACCCAGCATTCATGATATGCACGCTCTTAAGGCTGTGCAATTGGGCAATTAGTTGAAAGGGGTGTGTTCAAAAAAATAGCAGTGTCTGCCGTTGACTGTACAAACACAAAACTATTTTGTACAAACGTTTTTGTTTCTAGGATTTAGCAATCCTGTGAATCACTAAACTAATATTTAGTTGTATGACCACAGTTTTTTATAACTGCTTCACATCTGTGTGGCATGGAGTCAACCAACTTGTGGCACCTTTCAGCTGTTATTCCACTCCATGATTCTTTAACAACATTCCACAATTCATTTACATGTCTTGGTTTTGCTTCAGAAACAGCATTTTTGATATCACCCCACAAGTTCTCGATTGGATTAAGGTCCGGGGATTGGGCTGGCCACTCCATAACATTAATTTTGTTGGTTTGGAACCAAGACTTTGCTCGTTTACTAGTGTGTTTGGGGTCATTGTCTTGTTGAAACAACCATTTCAAGGGCATGTCCTCTTCAGCATAAGGCAACATGACCTCTTCAAGTATTTTGACATATGCAAACTGATCCATGATCCCTGGTATGCGATAAATAGGCCCAACACCATAGTAGGAGAAACATGCCCATATCATGATGCTTGCACCACCATGCTTCACTGTCTTCACTGTGTACTGTGGCTTGAATTCAGAGTTTGGGGGTCGTCTCACAAACTGTCTGTAGCCCTTGGACCCAAAAAGAACAATTTTACTCTCATCAGTCCACAAAATGTTCCTCCATTTCTCTTTAGGCCAGTTGATTTGTTCTTTGGCAAATTGTAACCTCTTCTGCACGTGCCTTTTTTTTAACAGAGGGACTTTGCGGGGGATTCTTGAAAATAGATTAGCTTCACACAGACGTCTTCTAACTGTCACAGTACTTACAGGTAACTCCAGACTGTCTTTGATCATCCTGGAGCTGATCATTGGCTGGGCCTTTGCCATTCTGGTTATTCTTCGATCCATTTTGATGGTTGTCTTCCGTTTTCTTCCACGTCTCTCTGGTTTTGCTCTCCATTTTAAGGCATTGGAGATCATTTTAGCTGAACAGCCTATAATTTTTTGCACCTCTTTATAGGTTTTCCCCTCTCCAATCAACTTTTTAATCAAAGTACGCTGTTCTTCTGAACAATGTCTTGAACGACCCATTTTCCTCAGGCTTTCAAATGCATGTTCAACAAGTGCTGGCTTCATCCTTAAATAGGGGCCACCTGATTCACACCTGTTATTTCACAAAATTGATGACCTCACTGATTGAATGCCACACTGCTATTTTTTTAACACACCCCTTTGGGAGCGAGCAATTATGAGCTATTGACAATTGAGGCCCATAAAAGAGAAACCACCTGAGCATTTACTGTTATTACACGTGCTACCGCTTCACCTTTACCTGAGCCACGTGCAATTTGTTTGCCTAATGGTCAGTCTGAGCATATGGCAGAATGAACCTAAATATTATGTATGAAAATTCACTACTAGCTCATCATTTCCTAAACTCTGACAGAGACAGAGCATCTCTGTATATTAACTCAGTGGAATTGTACAGAGTTACATAAAACATCTCTGACACATGCATGACTTGTGAATTTCCTCCATATTATTAAATCCTGACTGCTTATCTTACTGTTTCTCTCTCAGGGATTTAAACTACAATGATTTGCAGGAGTTCCCTGTGGCCATCAGGACACTGAGTAAGCTTCAGGAACTGTGAGTACTCACATACACACACAAAACACACCTGCCTGACATGACTATCATGGTTGTGTTATCCCAAGTAATCCCGTTAAGTGATTTTAATGTGGCACTCGGATACAATCTCTCTCACCCTAAGCAGGTGCTGACTACACACCCACGCACCCTGTTCGCCTGCACGTACACACAGATGAGGACACACACATACACAAACCATGCTTTCCCTCTGCCTCAGCAGATGTTCCACAGTGTGCATACAGTATGTGTCACAGATACAGCATGCGTGTGTATGTTTACATCTCATGCATCCAAAAATATTGTTCAGCTGTGCAACGGCAGGTGCAACATGAGAGCATATGACTTTCCTGTCACTCACAAACACACACAAAATTGCTGCTCCAGACACCCATGCAATCAGAAACATATTAATAAATTGTCTGACTAATAGTATGCTTTTACATTTGCAGGGGCTTCCATAACAACAATATCAAAGCCATCCCTGAGAGGGCCTTTGTGGGAAACCCTCAGCTCCAAACCATGTGAGCTTAATGACAAAATGTGCATACATTAGATAAACACATAATTGCTGTTTCTCATCAACATCATGTTAACACAACTCATTCCTAAAAACACATTCATCTAAATATATCCACAACTTTTTTTTTCTGTCTTTCTTGCAGCCATTTCTATGAGAACCCCATCCAGTTTGTGGGAAAATCCGCTTTCCAGTTCTTACCTAAGTTGCACACACTGTAAGTATGCGGTCAGTAGAAACCATTCCAGTGAGTTAACCCAAACACTGTTTAAATCATCCTCTGTCCCTTGCAGTGAGAGCTGAGTGGACATGTGTAATGGCCTACTGAATGATGTTGTGTTAGCGTATTTCCGCGGTGTGTGCTGATGTGGTAAGAGAGTGTGTGTTGTAAGAACATGTTGAATGGTGCGACTTATGATGTCTGGTGAAACAGCCAAAAACAGCCTGTGTTGATGTTGGATGAAACATTTGATGGCTGAAATGAGCTGTTAAGATGATGCCTGTGTGCATGCACTTGTGTGTTTGAGAGAGAAAGAAACAGAGAGAGTTTTCTGATAGTTTTTCTGCCTCTTTGACTGAAGTTCCCTTAATGGAGCAACCCAGATTCAAGAGTTTCCTGACCTGAAAGGAACCACCAGCCTGGAAATTCTGTGAGCGTCTCCTTTCTCCCCCATACACACCTCACGTATGCATAGAATTATTTCATCAGTAAGGCTTCATCACAACAGGGAATGCAAGATGACATTGAGATTCAGGGCAGAGATACAATCCCCAGAGTCTGCATACATGAAAGTGAAGACAGATAAAAAGAAGAACAAATGAGACACACACACACAAAACACTATGTGTTTTAGGATTCTAGGAGAGACAGGGAGAGAAGCGAAGCAGGGGCCAGTTATGCCAGCCAGTGAGATATTTGGCGATCCTACACAGCTCCCTGTCTGACCATGTTAGATTCACAGCACCAGGGGATCCTTTCACTTGCTTGCACTTGAGCATTGATCAGAGGATTCACATTTTCTCTATAGGACACTGACTCGTGCAGGTCTCTCAGCTCTCCCTCTGGATCTATGTGAGCAGCTGCCTCGCCTCAAAATGCTGTGAGTACACACATGCACACATGTGGGGGGGGGTAGGAGCTACACAAACTGATATGTAAAACTCAACTATGGAGAGCTGTGTCCACAAGCACATTTGCACAATCACTTCGCTATGAAATCCAATCATTCCCCCCAAAATTATCATCCTGCTAGTTTGCCTTGCTTGCTCAAATAATCCTGTCACCCCCATAATTTCCCATGTTAGAAATCCACAGCTGGTCCCTGTTTTTAGGTGTGTGCTCTGTGTATTTTTGTAGGGAGCTGTCTTACAACCAGATAGAGGAGCTGCCTAGTTTTCACCACTGCACTGCTCTGCAAGAGATGTGAGTAGTTCAACCCTCAACAGAATCTCACACACACACATACAGTATGTGCATCAAAATCCATTTTTGTTCCCCTGCATATTTCACATTGCACTTATATATGTGTGGACGTACTTTTTACTCAACAGCGGGCTACAACATAACCAAATCACAAGGATAGAGTCAAGCACCTTCCAGCAGCTCACTTCTCTAAGAGCACTGTAAGCCAAACCATGTTTTCACTGTACATTTTCTCTAACATGAGAGATTTTCTTGGAAATGCAGTCTAGATGGGTGGTTCCCAACATGGGGGTCATAACATAATCTAAATATCTGAATTTTCACCTGACGATTAATAGAAAAAGGCAAGAAGAAAAACTAAATGTATTATTTTGCTTTTTTTTTATGTAAAAAGAGTGAAAGACCTTGAAATAGCATTAAAATGAAACAGTCTGTTCAGTAAAAGTCACTAATATGTGATGAAGAATATTAAGTAAATGCCAGTTTATTTAAAGTGGTCATTAGCCAAAAAGGTTAAGAAACATGGTCAAGAATAAACGGTGTAGTTATGACCTGTTACTGACACCTAGTGGTGACCAAGATACCACATCAGATTCTAATAATCATTTCACTTCCTTCCAGTCCATTTCAATGCCCTTTCTTTTCTTTGTTAGCGATCTTAGCTGGAACATGATCCAATGGATCCACCCTGATGCTTTTGCCTCATTTCACTCTTTGATCAAACTGTGAGTAAACCCAGATACATAGCATTCACAGACATTTCTTCCCTTTTATCTGGTCCGTCAGCAGCATCATTCTTCTGCCCTAGAAGGCATATCGAATTTGTGTATCTTTAATTAAAGTGAAGCTGTCAGAGCCTTGGTCTTTTACAAACACTCTAGATATAATAACTGTGTGTACCCCAGACAACCTGTTGTCTTTGGCTGACTCTGCAGGGAACACTGATTTGCATTTACTGTTTGAAAAAGCCATCTGTGAGGCCAGAAGAGTCATGTCAGGTCAAGCCAATACAAACTGCTTCATTATGTGATAAGTGGTTGAAGTATGCCTAGCTAAACAAACAGATACACTACATCTGACAGGAAGTGTTATCTGGAGGGAACCTGATCAGAGCCTAGTCTGAACAGTTTAAAATATCTAAGAGACCAGGAATTTTTGTTACCAAGGATGGCCCTTGGCAATATCTGAAATGAAAACACATTCTGTATACATTGGCTTCTCATTTTCTTTTTCTACATTTTTCTCAGGGACCTGACTGAGAACCGCCTCAGCTCAGTACCTGTTGCAGGTTTGGGGGGTCTCACCCATCTCAAGCTGCGGGGCAACACAGAGTTATACGAGGCCTTTAGTCCTGATTACTTCCCTCGCATGAGGTAAAACACACACACACATAACATCATGTATCTGTTATTCCTTTTTGCTGAATATAGTTCATGTGAACCTTACTTTTCTATCACTTCAAACTGATTAAAGATAACCTACCCAGGTGTGTGTCCTGTGGCAGTAAGGAACAATGTACCCTTTTCCATGCCTTTAATTATCCTTCGTCTTGCAATTTTCTATCTTCAGTTTACCAAAAGCAGCTGAGGTTGACAATGAATGTGAAGCCATTCACAATAACTGAACTTTAACAATAAGGAAGCATTTGTCAGCAGCAAGTTACTTCTTGTTACAAAGATCCCTGAAGGCCCAAAAAGGTGCAGTGAAGTATAAATAATAGCACATTTCAAAGACAGAGCAGATGTCAGGCAATCAAGTGGCAATGTCAGCATTACTGTAGAACATCATCCAAAACAGAACTCCTGGCAGAGAGCCATTTCAGCACTGAACAGGTTTGTGTACAAACATACACACCAATGACAGATGATCAAGACTTCAGAAAACTAACCGTTTCTCCCACATTTTCCCTATGAATGTTAATTTTGCTTGACTTTCTGTATGTTCTTAAAGAACAGGCTCACCTTTTTTTTAAGACTCTCTCAAAACAATATCCCCATGCCCATATGTCCATTACATGTTTTTGCTTGCAATCATTTCCTCTTTGAAAATGCAATTTGGAAGATATTCAATCCTAATGAGCTTCCAATATATTCTGTGCTGTTTACTTGAAACTAGTATAAAGCTTTAGCAATCTGATGTAATCAAATCAAGAGGTTGTTTTCCAGTATGTCTGTCTAGTAAAACGCTGTCTTTTTGCACAGGATTTCGACTCTCTTCACATACATGGGAAGCACATTCATTGATACACAATGGAAAAATCTCTTATTGTTCTGTATGAACAGAAGAAATTATTACTGCAAGCAACAACTGTTTCAGTGTGCACATAGGCGCATGCATATATTTGAAAAATTGTATAGCTATCCTCTAAACAAAAATGATTTTTTTTCTTTATGCATACACCATCTGTTGTGGCATTGTTTTTCCTGATCTCCTGTAAATCCAGTGTCCATCTGTTTGTTACAGGGTGATAGAGATGCCTTATGCCTACCAGTGCTGTGTATATGGATCCTGTGATAACTACAAGCGGGACGCAGAGCAAAGCAACACTGATGAGGACCTACACAAGAGAACTGTAGCTATGTACCCTATCCACGCCGACGCACACTGTAAGAAAGCACACACATACGATATCCGTGCAAGTATGTGCTGTATATACTGTACAAGTAACACATATGGTACAAAGCTTGTGACTAGAGGTGTAGCCTACATATAAATATATGTAAATAAGAGTCCCATATGTCTGTGCTCACTGCTGAATTACTTAACACAAGCTGGCTTGAAACATGTACAGTATGAGCCTCACAGAAAACACGGCTACCTGGCAGCTGACAAACACTTGCTCTTGTGGTTTGACCCCCCTGCCCCAAAGCATTCCTGTGGCATCCGTAAAATATAAACATCTATAAACCAAAATTAGGTTGAAGTTAAAACCTTTGAAACAATGCCATTAAAGCTGAAAATAAACTGTAGTGTACCAAAAGGTAACAATAACAAAAGATGATTAAGCCATGGCATATCACTGATTAAAATTTATTCACCCTTCATTGTAAGAAAAACAGTCATGATGATCAAACTCCATGCAAGTGCCAATTATCTTCTAGTAATATTTTATTCTGTCACTGCAGAAGAATATTAGATCACCTCTCTTATTACACCAACTCTTTACATCCAGTGCCACATAATGTAATGTGCATATGCTGTGTACACACTCCAGAGAACCTTGCACAACCTAAACAGACCTTGTACAACAGACTTTTGACTCTAACGAAATCTTTATCCCAGATGACCCTGACCTGGAGGAGTTCCAACTAGAAATAGAGGAGTCAAAACTACAGACCAGTGTCCAGTGCACACCCACACCAGGTAACCCAGATTACTGTACACCTTCAGTGATGTGACCAAGCTGTTAGTTACTATTTACAACTTATCTCCAGCTAATAATTGTATTGTATGCATGTGGTGTTGCAGGTCCCTTCCGTCCCTGTGACTCTCTGTTGGACAGCTGGCTGGTTCGTGTGGGCCTGTGGTCCATCTCCCTGGTGTCTCTGCTGGGGAACTCTCTACTGCTTCTGTCTCTTTTTGACTCAGCCAGCTACCTGTCACCACTCCGATTCACTGTGGCCTGCATGGGAGCCTCAAATCTGCTGACGGGCGTGTGTACGTGCACCCTGGCCCTTGTGGATGCTCTTACTCTGGGAGAGTTTGGCCACCATGGTGCTCGCTGGGAAAAGGGTCCTGGCTGTCAAGCGACAGGATGGGTCTGGGTGTTTGCGTCTGAAGCGAGTGTGTTGCTGCTGACTCTCGCAGCCGTGCAGTGTGGTGTGAGCGTGTCATGTGCCCGTGCCTATGGGAAGTCCCCATCCCTTAGAAGTGTACGCACATGTGCACTTTTCTGCGTCATTCTTTCCCTTATCCTGGCCTCTCTTCCAGTGGTAGGAGTTGGAGAGTATGGGTCCTCACCTTTATGCCTTCCCTCACCCTTGCCTCCATCATCCTCTCAGCTGCCGACCTCCCTGGGCTTCCCCTTGGCCCTCATTATGATGAACACCCTTTGCTTGCTTATAATCACAGGTTCATACATCCGTCTATACTGGGAGTTACTTAGGGGGGAGTGTGAGGGCCTGTGGGACTGTGCTATGATCAAACATGTTGCCTGGCTAATATTTACCAATGGTCTCCTCTATGTACCAGTAGCTTTCCTCTCCCTCTGCTCACTCCTGGGTCTTCTCTCTCTGGGGGAGGAGGTGTTAAAATCAGTCCTCCTGCTTCTCCAGCCCCTGCCTGCCTGCCTCAATCCTCTGCTCTTTCTCCTTTTCACACGAGACCATTCCCAATTTTTCTTCTGGCCTCATCCCAAAGCATGTCCACAGCTACGCCGAGACCGCACTCTGGACTCGCTGGTTTCTGTGGAAACAGAGAAGAGCTCCTGCTCCGATTCCTCAACGCAGGTATCACTCAATGATGCTGACGGCCCCCACATCAGATTTTCCCACTGCTCTTCTACTTCTTCCGTTCCTCTCATTCCTTGCCAGATACTCATTCCCACAGCCAGAGAAAGAGACATGGTAACAGAACACGAAATCCTGAATGACGATGAATGTCTAAGGAGTTTGGATCAAGAAGTGATTCATAAGACTTGCCCCCTGTATCACTCTACCATGAGTCCCTCTCATCCATGAGCCTCCAAGCTAGGTGTGTGAAAAAGTGGGACAATAGGACATTAAAGAAACAGCAGAAGCTCTGGGTTATTAATCCCCAAGCACCTCCACACAGACTATAGAGTACTTTGGAGAAGCTAATGAGACACAGCAAAGTGCCTCTGAAAATAGAGAATGCAGCTAAAAGTTCCTTTCAAAATAAAGACTAAGGAAACACCACAATACAGCACTCACTAGTGGACTGTGTCTGTCATGGACTCACAAGACAAAAAGCAAACTCAAATAAAAGCTTGTGACTGACTACATTGAAAATCTAAGCATCAGACAAATCAATGGTTTAGTGGGGGAGTTTAAGTAAAACCAATAGAATTTTAAGTGTAAATGAAATGTGATCATGAAACATGCAGCTTATTGGTTGGTTATAGTTCAAATATAATTATCCTTGTTTTTTTTATATAAGTTCTACCTTATCGCTAAGGTCTGTTTCAAATAAACAGAACTCATCATCAAGCACACGAGGACATTTTACCAGGGTAAGCTAATATTTTTCACTCACCGCTATGTTATTGTCAGATATATTTCTCTGCAACTGTGTAACAGCAGTTATAAAAATGTTATTCTTTATGTGGCAGCCAAATGCAACATGAAACACATTGCACATAATTTTATACAGTTTACACAATTTTGTTTCCAATATGCAACTCTGCCCAACAGGAGGCAAGCAGTTATACAGACTGAATGGGATGTCGCTATCTTTCTACAGACATTATAGTAGGCTAGCAATACATACGTATGATGTAACTACCTCTGAACTAGCATGGTATTGACTCACTACAGCCTTAAGATGTTTGTCTCCCTTTTTATATGATAAACAAAAAATATATAATTATATATATATATATATCTTGCTATAATTAGGATGTACATATTTTGAATACAACTGGTAAGCATATGTTTGAATAAAATTATCTTCATACTGTATATACTTTGTATATATAATCAACCACTCTGCTACTATTGTGAAACACAACACCAAAGCATATAAGATGACAATGCACTGTGTGTAATACATTAAGCAAGTTAAACATTCAATATCTGTTCAAAATAAACTTTAATAGGAACATAAATGAACATTATAAACATGTAGATTTTCTGGATTAAGAAGAGGTATGCATATATACATTGTCGTCTGAAGCGGGTACTGGTAAACACATGAAAAATTAAAATCACTAGTTAAAGTATATAGGTGTGTAAGGGATGGTGGCTCTGGAGAAAAGCCACCATGAAACTACACACAGGTTCTCTTTGCCGGCTCCTCCACCTCGTACTGGGCACTGAGAGCCTCTCTTTTCCGGGATGCTGCTGTCTGATCTGGAGTATTTTCTTTGCTGTTCTTCATGACTCCCTGAACAAAAACAAATAGTTTTAGACATTCACAGCACAGTCTGTCTGCACTCCTCCACATCCCAAATTCAAAAGTATGAAACATGGAAGTCACACTTGAAGATAAATCAGACATGTTGCATCACTTTTTTGCAAGGCAATATTAAGTTGGCAGACAACATTCAACTGAGGGAACACAGCACCACCTTGTGGGTAAAATAAGCAACTTCATACAGCTCATGACAAAGTACAGTGCCATAGCACAAGTGTCACCTACTACTGCAGCCTAAACCAAGAAGGCCAGTACATAATTAAATTAAAAAGGTTCAAGAACAAATCTGTTTCAATCATGAACCACAGTCAGTACTTTAAAACTACAGCCCCGAGTGACTTACCATGTTCTTCTGAACAGCATGCTCCAGTGTCCACTTCCTGGCCTTCTCAATGAACAGCTGTTTGTTGTATTTGAACTCCGATGACTGGATTTAAAAAATGCAAGTGTCTATTTACAGGTATACACGGTGGGGTTACACAATCGTTCACTGTACTCCAATTAGGGATGGGCAATGATTTTTCAAATATTCGAATACTCATTAAATTAAAAAAAAAAATTAAATCAAATATTTCATGTGACTATGGTTTTGTCTTTAAAAACAAAAACCCAATGTTGTACCTTGCTTTGACTGGCACCTTGAAATAACGAGATAACGAAGTCAGTATATCATTTCACTACAGCACCAAATACAAACAGCAGAAACATGCAGAGACTACATCCATCAAGAAAAACTGTCACAGCATGACTGGATAAACTGTGTGATGATAATGCATGTGAGCTCTGCAGTCATTTGACAAGTGCTGAAAAGGTGTCTGACCATGGATGCATGGACAGCACTTACAACTGAATCATATATGACAGTCACCTGCCATTATAAAAACAATTGGAAAATACAGAGTGCTGTTCTTCAGGAGAAAGCAATGCTGGAACTGCATACTGCTGAAAATCTAGTCAATGTGCTTTCCACCACCATGGAGCACTGGAGACTTACAGGTAAAGTCACAGTATGCATGCATGACAACATTAGCAATATGGAGCTGGCCGACATGAAGCGGGGCTCTCAGCAATGGGAAAGGTGTTCCATGATCTTAGAACAGTTGTCAAATAGTTCCCAGCAAATATTGAACAGCATTTTAGTTTGAAATGCCCATCCCCAACTCCAATCAATACAGTATTGAAATTTTTGTGACAAGGGGTAAAGCTATGTATTTCAAGGTTGATATCTAAACATGTTTTTCTGGCATTTAGTAAAACCCCTGGTTTTTGTTCAATTCTTTTCCTGGTGCAAATTTTAAGCATTATATTAGTTAGATCTCAGACATTCTAATGTACCTCCCAAAAAATGTACTACAATATGTAAAGTACTACAATATTCACATGAACAAATTAAACCACCACAGTGTGAATGTATATTAAGATTAGGCTACTCTAACATATAAATTAATCTGAGTGGATACAAGATTACAAATAACTCACTATATCAGCCATGAGTGGATCATCTGAATTGGGCTCTGCCATCAGCAGTTGAATGGAGGTGAGGACTGTGGAGATGTTTAGAGATGGCTTCCAGGCACCCTGAATAAAAATATAAAACAGGAAACAGTAACTCTACACGTACAGGTATCCTCATTTCTCTGATAGCAGACAAACAAAACCCCATAACAGATCTGTGATACACTATTGTTTTGTGCTCTTCTTTAATCTAATTACCTTTGGTGGGAGTTTAAGAGCATCATGGCAGATTCGTCCAGAATTGTCAATGTTTGGGTGGTAGATGGCGGTCAAAAACCTTATTTGGGGAGGCTCAAATGGATACCTACAAGAAAAAAAGAAACAGAAGGTCAGTCCTACTGGAGTGTGATAAGGGCCTGTAACTGGTGTAATGTGTAGAGAGAGCACCATCTTCTGAAACATTTTACCTCTCTGGGATCTTGACCTCTAGGGAGAAGAGCCCACCTTCATAAGGTGTTCCTGTTCCACCTACTATCTCTGCAAATATGGGGAAGGGAGAAATCATCAGGTAGACAAAACAGAAATTTAGCCCATCATATATGTGCTGAACTCCTAAGATACAGGAACTCTATATGGGGGAACTGCTGTATCTATCAGAACATCATGATGCAGAAAATTACTTGAAGTACTAATTATGATAAAACCAAGTAAAACCTTATTTAAACTAAAATGAAACTAAGCAGATACAAAAAATATATAGTTTTAAAAAATGCTACAGAGACTTAATGTTACAATTGTAAGTGTGTTTCACAGACCCCTGACCTTTTTACTTATTACTGCTCTCAAGGGGACATTATGGTGAGAAAAATATCTGCCAAATCTGGGAGAGATTATAAAATTGTAAGGAGAAATTCAAATTAATACCTTCTGATATGGGAAGACAACAGTCAGTGTAAACAGCAATGTATTTAGTACCTAACTGCATGCTGTAGTCTAATTCACCTACATTCTCCCATAAACCTTTCTAAAACTTCAGTGAAAATTAATAAATGTATGACTAAGAGTAATGATGAGGATTCTTGTTTCTTATCAAATGCACAGCTGTTATCAGTGCCAGTAAATTTCATAATCACACTGTTACAGAGACAACATTCACTTTTTATTGAAAATATTGTGGTGTGCAAAAGTATTTTACAGTGTCCCATAAGCTCAGCACACTGAAACTTTAAAAAAAAGATAAAAAGAAATGGACAACACACAAGCAAACCAAGAAAACGTCTATACCAATTTGACAACACTTACGCATTTAGTAAAAATAAAAAGGAAAAATATGTATATATAAAAGCTCTCGTGGGTTAAACATACTGTTATTGACATAAACGGGGTTGACAAAATAATAGAAACACTAGTCAGAATAATCAACGTTACGCTCAGTGACAGAATAACGTCACTTACGTGCCCGAAGATCATCTACCCTTTCCTCCGTCTGCCAGCATGTTATACCGGGCGGTGGCTCGGTGCTCAGCATCTGTAGTTCGCGTTTCAAACGGGACGCCCTCTGCATTCTGTAAAATTGAAAATTATGTAAACTGTCTGGATTCATGAATAAACATAACGTTAATGATATTAACTCCAACAAACTGAATGAATGAACTAGTGGTGATTCTGATTCCATTAGCGTTTAATTCTAATATGACACTAATAACTGGTTAAATTGGACCCAAGTTAAGATAACTTAATTTCGACCAGAATAATAATATCTCTCGGTTCACTTAAGTTAATGATACTTTGCTCACTTTGCTCTTGGTGCTCACAATAAGCCAAGCGTGTAACGTTATAAGTTAGTTACCTTGTTTAGCTAAGTTACGCTAACGCTGCCTCCTCGACACAAAAACATGCACAAAACTAACGTTAGAAAACCACATGTCAGCTAAAAACTAGAATGAATGTTTTTGCCTGATAACATTGGCATGTTAGCAGGCAACATGTTAGCCTAGTATGCAAATGTAAGCTTAACAACCACACCGAAGTTAAAATAAGATGCTGTTTACTCGATAATAAATACCTCTCACTTATTTTTGATTTACTTTAAATGTTTCTGTCCACGTAGCAGTTACTATATAGACTGTTTTAACTTTTAATCCCACAACACCATCTGAAAAAACTACCGTACGTGGTGGACTCTATTTTGAATTTTTCCCTCTCTGTACGTGCCGGTATTCTTTCTGTGCGTAAACGTCACCGACGTTCTTCTTCCTCTGTTTTTTAAGGTGTGCCCAACCACAGCACGATCGCCACCTATCGTTTGGTTGCTCGTACCTTCCTCAGCCTGGTGGTTTTGACTCTGATACTGCACAGTCTTTTTCCTGAGGGGAGGAAAGTAAAAAGTCCATGTGCAGAGTAGGTGTGGTCCTTCATGATGCTGGAAATTCTGTTTCTGCACCCACCGCTGTAAATATCACACAATGTAGGTAGGCCGCTGTTGATTGTAACTGTGCAGATTAAACACCAGTTGCAGTGCCTTTCTGTTTGCCACAAAGTGGATGTTGCACCACACAGATTCCACCGCCCACTTGTAAAAAGACTCAGGGGCTGCTTGTCAAGACCAGACTGCTGTAACCTCCTCAGGAAAAAAGGCATTTATAGGCCTTTTCTGTTATATTTACTTTTTGTATTATTTAGTATAGGCTACTGAATACTGTTTTGATGAATCTAATAATTATAATTTTAATTACTTTACAAAATGTTTGATGTACATTTCCAACTGGGGACCAGTAAAGTCTTAACTTATGATTATATTACATTTTGTACTATTAATCGAGTGGCATAGTAGTGCAGTGGTTAGTACTGTCACCTCAGACAATGAAAGTCCCAGGTTTGAACTTTGCTGTGGACCAGTGCCTTTCTGTGTGAAGTTTGTATGTTCTCCCCATACCTGTGTTGGATTTTTCAAAATTCTCCAGTTTCCTCCCACAGTCCAAAAACATGTACATTAGGTTAAATGGTCACTCTAAATTACCTGTACAGCAGATGTAAATGGTTAGGCATATCCCACATTTCCTATATGCATCTACTTTCCATTACTTGCATCTTTTCCTTGTGCTTTAGTCTGCATCAACTTAAGATTCATAGAAAGGATGCAGAGACATCATGCTTACACACAGTTTCCCACTTGCACTCTGAACTCAATCTCACTTAAAGGCAGTGACATAAATTGCCTGAAGACTAATGTGCTTATGTCACTTGTCCTCCATTATGATATTAATGAGGCCAGAGTCTCTCAGAACTGCCACATAGACATCCAGGTGCCAGCTCTCGAGTGGCATAACTCATTTTGCTGCCAAAGTAGCCACATGAGACAGTGTCAGTATGGTCACCATCAGGTCTCCTGGGTGTTTTCAAAAGGAAGGAAAAGAATGACATGTATGCAGAGAAGCTCTTAGAAGTCAAAACTAGGTATGCAGCCGTAAATCACCAGATCATCTGGTTTTAGTTTGGATGATGATATGAAAATTAATTTTCTCTTATTGCTAGTGTACATTATCCTCATCTCCTGCTTCTATTACCCAATGTATCTTCCTGGGGTCAGATGTAGTAGCACTTACAGTGAAAGATTTATTCACAGTGCTGTTTGCCCAGCAGCATTGCTGCTACATCACAGTGGTATAGGGTCATGTTCCCACAAGCCACAAGTTGCTTCATTTGCTCACTTAAGAGACAAACAAGAAAAATATTCAGCTATTCCAAAAGTAAGTAATGTTACTTCCCTTCAGATAAAATAATGTCCTAGACCAGTAGCTATGGGCTTTTCTAGGGTTTTGCAACCTTGTTTACTAACTGCTTCCTGTATTTTTTCCTTTAGTGTTCCTTACAATGAGGCTTACAGTCCATATACAGTATGTGGCCTGTTTATGCTGGCTAGCAAAGCTTGCTATGTCGATAAAACCAATATGTTATGTATTGTTTTTGTGTCTGAGACACTCTTTTGCAGTGAATTTAAATACTTTATTCCACTTTGTCGATACACAAAATCGGTGGTGGAAAGAAATTCAGTACATTTACTCAATTACTGTACTTAAGTACAATTTTGAAATATCTGTACTTTACTTGAGTATTTTTCATTTTCTGCAGCTTCATACGTTGACTTCACTACATTTGTACTTTTAACTTCACTACATTTATGTTATAACTTTACTTATTATAGTTATTTTTCTGTTGTATAATCATGAGACTTTATTGATCTCCAGTGGAAAATTCACAAACTATCCAGCAGTAATTGAAATTCTAAGCATATAAACTAATTAAAAGTAGCTCCCTCTTTACCAGCTGCAATATTAATGATGTCCACAATAATGCATCAGTAATTGTAATCGAACAATATGATATACATTAATGTTCAATATGCCATTGTGCATAATTAGTACTTTTACTTTTAGAATTTTATGTTTTAATGCTAATACTTTTGTACTTTTACTTAACATTTTGAATGCAGGACTTTTACTTATAACAGAGGATTTTTACACTGTTGTATTGCTACTTTTACTTTTACTTTTAAGTACAGGATCCTGGTATTCCTTCCAAATCTGTTCAAACCTCACCCCGAGTAATCCACCCCTATACAGTAGCATGGTTGCTGTGTTTGCAGTTTGGCTGCTGATTGCAGACCCACACTTGGACCATGACCCAGTTCTGACACTCCATCCCTAGACTGGATCCCACATAGCTGCACATTGTTCTCCTCAAGAAAAGAATTTTAGAAATTTAAAAAAACAAAACACAATGCAACACATTGTAACTGGAATAGCAAGTGACCCTAATCTTTACAAATGTTTAGCTAATGTTGATAAAAAACTATGTTGATATAAGTCTTGTTATAACATACAGTACATAACTATTTTAATATTTTGTACATACAAACTTTGGGTGAAGTGTGAAAGAGATTTCTCGATGTATTAGAAGAAAGGTTTGGAAAAGTGGGTTTTTGAAACCTGTTAATTGTTCTTTTTTTCTAATATTGTCATTTTTAGTTGGATTATGCTTACTTCAACCTTTTATGTTAAGGACTTGTGAGTTTTGTGTTTTCACCGTGTCTTGTATGGTTTTCTTTTGTTCAACGTTAGTTCTCTTAATAAAGAGACGGTTTTTACACTTCCTCGTCTGGCCATTTAATTGAGTTCACCTAACACTTTTCGGCCGCATTACGCGCGCCGTTTCTGATACATATAGGCTATTCTAGTAAAATTATAATATGATATATTATATTATTATTATTTATTACATCTTACTTATATTATGCAGTCTTCTAAAAGATTTTGTTTGATCATCCAGCAGATTAAACATTAACCATTAAATATTAACAGTCCGATGTCAGAGACACAATACCAAAACCGAAAATGCTAAGTCAGAGCTGGGGTCTAGAACAATCTGGCAGCGTCGCCTAAATAGAGGTGCAAACAATAACGAAACAGGTGAAACCAATGTGAGTGATGAAGAACGCAAAAAGACCGAAACTAAGTTGTAACAAAAACAGGAAGTAACGTCAAAATAAAAGCCGGACAGGAAGCAGCGAAACCGAATCATGACAATATGAAATTTTTTTTCTGGAGGTATTTCAACCACAATATTCATTTCTGACCATGTTGTCACTGCATAGTAAACAAACTATGAACTGTAAATGCCTACAGTCAATTGTACGGCGTTTCTGTGTTTGGGAGCGTCGTAATGTCCTGAACTAAAGTACTGAATACTCAATTACTGAATACTACTGAATACGTTACTCTTCAGTGCCAGTTGTCTGGGTTAATGTCTAACCTAGTTTATAGTGTAGTAGCAGTACGTGCTAGAGCTGTCGCTCCGTTTTTCCTGTAAGAGGAGGAGCCCGAGGATCAAGTACAGGCGCACGCACTGCTGTTTTCTGGTCACATTCGCTTTTCACACTCCCTGTTTTTATATACGCACTATAGGAATTTTTATTTATTTCCCCGTTCACAATAATTGTGCGTCCAAATATTTATTGCAAAGTGTGAAAAACGATCAGAACAGTTCTTTTCCTCTAACTTAACTGCCATATGTCATACTGTAAATATACTGCTGGATCGCTCTGTAATCAAGTGCAGTGTTGTGTTTTTAGAAATGTCCTCTGGCGTTGCTTCCTCCAGTTAGCCCAGTTTGCACACACCCCTTGTATGGTTTATGTTTCTTTCGTTTTCATTTTCCGGAAGAGTCGAATGTGAACACAGTACTGAGTTTTATTTCTTAGAAATTTATTCCACTCCTTATTTATAATGTAGTTTTGGGAGGTTTTACCAGAAGTTTATATAATTTTTTGGAGGAGTTGTGTGTCTGCATATAAGAAAATCGTCCTGTTTTTCCGTACAGTCGAATAGATAAAGGAAATGTCTTTGGAGAATATTTCACCTTTGGTCAAGGTAAGTTAAGGTCCTACTATTGGAACAAATCGTTCAACCAGGTGTTGATTTTAGAAAGTAAACGGGAAGCAGCGTTTTTTTTTTTCTATTTGGTAGATTAAGTGCTTTAAATTTTAGGACGTGGCCAGCTGGTGCTGTTTACTGAAAACTTGCATTTTTTAAAATGTTTTAAAAATCTACTCACCATTTCTTGTTTCTCTACACTAATAGCTGAGTATATGCATATTTATGGGCATGTGTGGATGTTTTACAGCAAGAAAACATAGCAAACAGTCATTCATCTACACTGAGAGGAAGACAAGTTGACCTTCCTCCCAGTGTGCATCATTCCCTGCCAAACCAGCTTCCTTTAGTCAGTCCTACCTCTCAGGAAGACCTGTGGCAGCTACCTGGACGGCTGCGTGAGTCAAACCCTTTTCAGCTTGACATACTGTACATAAAAAAACATGAACTACAAATAACATGCATTGATTGCAGCATTCTCTAGCAGCACAAACACTTCTCTTGTTTCTGAATTGTGCCTTTGATTTCTAGGAATAAACCCATCTCTGTGGGATAAGGAGGATGTTGCACACTGGCTCCACTGGGCTCAGAAGGAGTACTCACTGTGCCGACCAGAGAAGGGACGCTTTGAGATGAATGGCCGAGCCCTGTGTCTGCTCACCAAAGAAGACTTCAGACGCCGTTGCCCAGGCTCAGGTAGAAATGACTGTGACTGCTGAAAGAAATCACGCTGACAGGTTTTTTGCACTTTTTTTTTTAAATTTGTGCTGCTTGGATTTCTTGTAGGTGATGTTCTCTATGAGATCCTTCAGTGTGTGAAGCAGCAAAGGATGAGTGTTGCCTGTTACCCCCCAAATACATCTCACTCTTTAGGAACTCAGCCCATGCAAAGGCCAGGCAGTTGCCAGAACCCCACTCACCATGTCCAGGAGCCCCAGTGTCCCACAGTGAATGACACCCAAGGTCAGTAGGACAACATTTTTGAACTTATAGAGAATCAGAATCTGTTTTTTCAGAATCAGCTTTTTTGGCCAAGTTTATTTAAACAAGCATAATGAAATGTAAACATATAGCTATTATATACATGCAAGATATAATAATAAACCTTTTTGTTATGCACTATATACACAAGGTTGTGTACAATTGCAGAGCTGTGCAGAGAGCACACACTGTTGAGTGCCAAAGGCCTGGAGACAGAAAGACCCAAATTGCAACACTCTGATTTGAAGCACAGTACTTGTGTAACTAGGTCCCGGTGGAGCAGTATGCAGTAATGGGGACCGAGTTGGCTGGGCGTCTGGGAATGATACCTGGCTGCAACCTGGGGTGTGGTGCTGGAGGAGGGAATGCTCCAGAGACCACTGGAGAAGAACCAAGGCAGCAGGGGGAGAAGAGGGAATGAATACTGGGAGTGTTGGTACCGGCAGATGCAGGGTTGTGGAGTTGAGATGAGGATCCACGGAAGGAGGGGAGGCTAGAGAGCGCAGAGGCAGGGAGCTGGTTGAGACAGGGGAGGTGAAACAGGTAAAGAGTAGATTCTGGTAGAAGAGGTGAGGTGGGTGCTGAGGGGCAGACTGCTGGAGAGGTGACAGGAGATGCAATGCTGTGCAGGGCAGACTCTGGCTGGAGAGACGAAGCAGATGTGGAGTGGTGCAAGGCAGTCTCTGGCTGGAGAAAGGAAGCAGGAAGCCAGCTTGGAAACAGGAGCGTGGGAAGGAGATTCATATACAATTGCGAAGGGGAGATGCAATTAACACCATCAAAACAATAATAAATATATACACATGGATCAAATAAAATCAGCATTAACAATCTAATAATGCAAGTCACACATAAAAAAAAATAAAATCTACACAAAAAATCAACATAAATAAAATAATTTTAAAAACACAGTATGCAGATCACCTGTTACATTCACATTTAAACTGTAAAGTACTTTATAAAAGCAGTTTAAATTGAGAATATGGAATGAGAGTTGCCAGTTTTGTCATTTTCTGCAAACTATTCAATTTTTGCGGGGTATAGTAACAGAGGGACATTTTTCCTACTTCTGAATTAGCAAAAAAGGGTTGCAGAACAAGATCATCTTATGAACAGGTCTGGTACATTGAAGATCTATAACTCAGGAGGCATGTAATATATTCAGGCAACTTATTAAGTAGGGCATTATAAATGAATATCATACAGTGATGTTCTCTTCTCTGTGTCAAAGGTGGCCAGCCTACTTTCTGATATAATTCACAATGGTGAGTCCTAAAGGGATCTCCAGTAAAAAATCTAATAAACAGCATGGTACACTGAGTCAAGTGATTTCAAGGTTTCGGCAGTGGCGTGCATATAAATTATATCTATTATAAATAAAATTGTTGCCTCATATCAAACTTGTTTATCCAGGTTAGACTGTGGGTGTGAATAATTCCTGATCAGCCACAGGTACATGTGTAAACACATCATGCTGAAATGTATGCTCTCTCCTAGGTTTGTTTTATTGTACTCATGATGGCATCCATTGACTTTTTATTCCTACTGTATACTCCAAAGTCTAAACCCGAGCAGTGCACAACTACCCTTGACCAGACTACATTAAAATTCACCTTTGACTACAGTTTTTTTCTATATAGCATGTCTGTAATGTTGCTTAATAAAGTGTAACACATTATATTTTATGTGATACTGTACATACGATAAAAGGTTTATTTGCTATTGCACTGTTACTGAAAAGTTACAATAAATAGAAATAATAATGTACCAGCACCTCAAAACTGTGCATAAATAAAATGCCTGAGTAAAAGTTTGTTGCTACTACCCACTAGTGAGGACACTTTACCCTTCAGTAGGGGAATAGAAACACACAAATAACTCATCTGTCCCCATGATAAACAAAAATGCTTTCCATTATAGGAAGGAGGATTCGTGCAACTGTATGTGTGTGTGTTGCGGTTACCTAGATACCAGTGACCTTGCAGCGTCAGAGTCCAAAACTATATCTTTGTCCTATATACTATATTCAAGTAGGAAAATGGCCCCTTCATGATAAACACTGCATTAGTCTTTAGTGTACCCATTAAATTAAATGTTCAAGCAGCTGTAAAACCACTTTTGCTTTCAGTTTAACTCTTTCTCACAGTTCCTCATATTTTACAGTTTCCCACATTTTCACCACTGCAGTGTCGGCAGCTGTCGTAACCACTGTGAGCAGCCAGCCAGAACCCATGTTGCCTCTCAGAGATCGCCCCTTGAGCTTTTACACTTGCCCTGCTCCAGTTAAACTTAGTAGTGGGTATATCAAACTACTATACCATATACAGTATATAAAGTGGCCAGCACTTATAATTATTTATTGTGATGTTTGTTTTTCTGTTGATCTCTCTTATTTCTGTCTTTCTTTTAGATGTCTCTACATTGCCCAACAGCCAACTTCACTGTCCTCCCAGAACAGAGCACATCATCCAGGAGCCTCTCAATCTGTCCAGTCGAGAGAAGCCAAGGAGCCTGCTGCAAAAAGCCAATGGCCGCATCCCAGGTACTGTTACATTACTTTATTAACAGTATTCACTCAGAACTCACTTCCTTTATGAAGCTGCATGAACCACTACGGGGTAGAAAAAAATCATAAACACAAGGCTTTGATTGATATGCTATCCATTTTTATACTGTAACCATCCAGAGTAGCATATGCTTGAATGAAGTGCTCTTCTTTGCCAGGCCAGCTAATGATTTAAGTCCAATATTTAATACTTCACTCACAGTGAGGATCAGGTTAAAGTTTGCCTAAGAAAAAGAGTGACCATCTTACACATGCATGCTGTGTATGCTTAGATATGAACAAGGCTTTCAGACTGAGTTTCAAAATAATAAAAATGAATCTCTTGCACTAAATAAAAACCAATAACTGATCATAGCACTATATAGTAAGTTTTGGCAATGTGTGTCTTTAATTCTATTTAAGCCATATTGTTGTTTTAATCATTACCAGAGTGCAGACTGTTGTGGGACTATGTGTATCAGCTGCTGTGTGATGACCGTTACCAAGAATACATCCGATGGGAAGATCAGGACAGCCTGGTGTTTAGGGTAGTTGACCCCAACGGACTGGCACGTCTCTGGGGAAATCACAAGGTGAGCATCCAAAACTTTGTGGTTCATCTAAAAGGCTGGTAATGGTTTGTAAATGATGTTGCACAGGGTTTTGATGATGGGTGATCCATTTTTACAGAACAGACACAATATGACGTACGAGAAAATGTCCCGTGCTTTGCGACACTACTACAAGCTCAACATCATCAAAAAGGAGCGAGGACAAAAGCTCCTCTTCAGGTTCTTGTTCCTTTCCCTTTGTCAGTAGCTTTCTGTCATCTCTCTTCAAAAACATGCAAATTCACTGGTACTGCCTCTGGTCTGTCTCCCTTCAGGTTTCTGAAACTTCCACACGACATCAGGAAACGGCAGAGTGACATCGCAGAGTCCCCAGAGCACACTCCGCCTCAGGACAGAGATCTTCCATATACACAGGACCATCGTGAGGACCATTTTGAGGTTTCCCCTGATCGAGCTTCCCCGCAGCCACCTCCAACTGGTGCTCCACTGAGATAATGAAACCGCCTTGGGTGTGTTCTGCATTACAGAATAGAAAGGACCTTGTGAGTGCTTGACTCATTGTGGTTTATTTATCTTGTAGTTTCAGCTTCAATAACCCAGGCAGCACCTGTGCAGGTTTAACAAAACCCACTGTTAGGCATAACTTATATGCTGGGATTGCATGTCATGTTGCTGTGAATCAATGTATATGTAAATGTGATCAGAATGAACACTAATAATATTAAAAGAGGAACACTGTGAATGAAATTACCTCAGTGTTCAACCAGCCAAATAATCATCAGATCTTAAATCTCCCAAGTTGGCTTCACATGCAGTAATTTCAATACAAATAATGCACTTAATGCCATAAAATATTTTTGTTTTGCAGGTAAATGGCAGAAATCACAATGTAATTATTCAAATTTTGTTGCAGATTGTTTGTTAGGATGAGACAGAAATGATTGTTTGCCTTCATTTGTGATGTGGCATGAAGGTCAGTGTTTTTATAGGCAGGTACTTTATTTTTATTTTGTTTTGTTTGGTCAACCTGATGATGAGGAATTTGTTTCTGTGGTTTGTTGTTGGTTTAAAATTTTGTATTATAGGCTAATACTTATTTTTTGCTATGTAAAATAAATCATTTGTATGGCTAAGAAACAGAGTGGTGCACCAATGTTGCATGCTTATAAGCAGGGATCATCACTTTGGTCTCTTTATCCAATTTTGGTGTATACATTATACATTTATGCATTTAAATAATTTCTTAGAGAGTTGTACAAGTAATGTTATTAATTTGTTGTTGAGATAAAAATTATAAAGAAATTTTGGCACTGTCTTTGTGCAGAGAGGCACAAACAACCACAAAGACAAGGAATACAGGTCTAGACTGTCTCCTTACTAAAATAGATCTGTGTACTTGACTCAGTGTACCACTTCCAAGCATGAGCAAACTCACAAAATACAGGCAAGTGAAGACAACAGACACATTCTCAGCCCTTCTTGTGTAACAATTAAAACTGGCATCTGTACTGTACCTGCAGGGGGTGCTATGGTTGCATGGCAACCAGTGGCTAAGCTACTGATACTGACAGCAGCTGGATCTCAGACAGACAGCAGAAGTAAGGATGTTGTTTACATCATCACATGAAACCAATGACCACTTCCATGAAAAGTCATAATAATATAGCAAAATATACTGCATGTATTTTGTTTGAGTTAAAAAAAAGTTAAATGGGAGAAAACAAAAGCTTTGGTATAAAATAATTAAAAGGTGCAGCTAATGATTAATGAAACTTATATTTCCATAAGTTAATAACTCTGGTAAAATGAATAAAATTCAACATTCAAAAATGTATTTGTAACATACTCATACTTTCAATGTAACATAAAAACTATACTACTTTAGTTGCCTTTTTGAAAACGATTACTGTGAAATCCTAAAAAAAAAATTCAGTCTGTTAAAATTGTGTGGATTTGTTTATTACTTCAGCAGGTTTTTGTTTTTTTTTTGTAGTATCACATGGAAGCCAGCCTGAGATAAGTAAACCAAAACTGCGTTCACTTGCGGGACTAGAAACACAGAAGAAGCCATTGAGAGTGTTGTGTGCTATCACATGGCCATGACCAATATAGTATGTCTAATTTAGATTTGTTTAAAAACACTGTGAAAACATCATCCTCATTTCTCTGGATAACCCATCGTAACCTGCTTTAAGTTAGTCTATTTTTAAAAGAACTGAACTTCTGCCACAGTGCTGATGTTTTTTACCATTTACAATTTAAAAAATCTGCAGAAAATGGTTCAAGGAATGTCAAGTTGTCATTATCCAGAAGTTCCTCTGTCCATCTCTTTCTCTGGATCTGGATTCATGGCCACTTACCAGTTAGGGGTGGCCCAGTGCTTCCTAAAATACGCACCCCAGATACTGCGCACAGCACCACGTGTCCTTGGGGCATCTGCTGGGTCTCTGGTAGCAGCTGCTGTGGTCTGTAAAATTAGCCTGAGTAAGTGACTTTATAATTTTTTTCTACATCTACTTCTATTTCATGTAATTATTATGCCTTGCTCCAAATCTTTTATTTTCCAGTTACCATGCGGGATGAGATGCTGCACTTTGCAAAACAGATGAAAGCATTCACGCTTGGACCACTTAACCCTTCAATCAATGTTTTCCATTGGTTAGAGTGTCTTTTACACAAACATCTTCCCTCTGATGCTCACCAGCTGGCCAGTGGTCGTCTTTCTGTGGCTATGACCCGTCTAATTGATGGCAAACGCTTTATCATGTCTGAATTTCAGACCAAAGAGGATGTGGTACAGGTGAGATTGTATTATAGGATACCTTACTGATTTGTTGGAACCCAGATCACTTTGGAAACAAAAATGCACAAGAACAGGTCTTACAGACAGTTTTTACACTATTCTTACCTTTGCTGTATGTTGTCCTTAGGCTCTGCTATGTAGCTGCTTTGTGCCTGGGTACTGTGGTTTGCTACCACCATCATTCAAAGGAGTTGTGAGTATCAGATACTTTTTTCTCAGACTCACTTGGAGCACATTGTTTGGTCTGTATCATAATATATGTCATCTCACAGCATTATATAGATGGGGGTTTCAGCAGCATACAGCCTGTATCCTGCAGCCGCACCTTGACAGTGTCTCCATTCTCTGGAGAGATTGACATTTGCCCCGCTGACACATCTTGCACATGGGATATGGTAGTGAATGTAGTCACCTTTAAGGTCAGCAAGGCTAACGGCATCAGGATCATCAATGCCGTCTTTCCAATGAATTTAGAGGTCAGATCCCCATTGTGTGTCACTTGATGCTAAACTAGACGTTTGTTTTCAGTGTGCCATGATATATTACTTACTGCATAAGTGGGTAAAAGGCTAATTAATAATTAACTTTTCTTTGTTTTGTGGAACACAAACTTAAATTGAACATTTCACATTTTTTTGGCTATTCTTTTGAAGATTATCTCTTTGAATGTCCTTTACTGCTCACTCGTTAATGAATCAGTGAGAATGAAGGGCTCTCAATAATATGACAGATCTCTCTGAAAGATGATTTTGTACCATTTTATTTTGTTCATGTGTTGTTGTTGTTCTTTCTCCCTTTAGGTTTTAGAACAAGCCTACCACAGGGGCTACAAAGATGCCATTCATTTTCTTCTGTGGAACGGTGTGTCAAAATACGGGGACTATTTTTAAATTTGGGGATTTTTACAAGCAAACTTGATCTCATCAGTATTCTTTGTTTCTCTTTCACATCATTCCCTTGTGTGCAGATCTTGCCACTTATTTGACAAAACACAATGTATACCAAGTGCAATTTAACTATAACAAGGCAGAAACGTGGATGCACCCGGAGACCACCACTGAGGAAGAGCAGGACATGACAGTGAAAAAGGAGGCTGCTACTCTGACATATTTCAAAAACAACAGCTCTACTGAATATGATTCGACTGGAAATCACCAAATTAAAAAATCTCCTCTCCATTTTGACATGGCTAAAAACGGTATGGCTGGCATGCATATGTCCACACACACAAACATGCAAACAGATAACATTTTACAACTTGCTCTGATTTTTTAATTCAAACATATAGAACAATTTAGGAAATTGAAATATTTACATTTAATTACATTGTGTGTAAATGCATGTTAAGAAATTCACTAAAATAATCAGTTACTACATGTAGCACAACGGCTTTTATTGTCACTCTAATATCTAAATTCCAGTATGTCTTGTTGATTTCAGAATTGAGGGTACAATAAAAAATTTGGATTGCCATACTAAGCCTTAACAAAAATTGCTTTTGTCATTGGTGTTTCAGTTCTTCTGGGCAATGTGGTGACTTATCTGAGCATGTTTGAACTCCCTGCAAGAATGTTATCCTACCTGCTCCTGCCTTTCATGCTGTCATTTTACATCGTGTTCCAGAGTATGCTCAGGTAATAAATATATTGAACCTACAGCACGTAGCAGACAGGACTGTAGAAATGACTGAGGACAGACATTATGTGCTCACACACAAAACATACAGTGCCTTGCGAAAGTATTCGGCCCCCTTGAACTTTGCGACCTTTTGCCACATTTCAGGCTTCAAACATAAAGATATAAAACTGTAATTTTTTGTGAAGAATCAACAACAAGTGGGACACAATCATGAAGTGGAACGAAATTTATTGGATATTTCAAACGTTTTTAACAAATAAAAAACTGAAAAATTGGCCGTGCAAAATTATTCAGCCCCCTTAAGTTAATACTTTGTAGCGCCACCTTTTGCTGCGATTACAGCTGTAAGTCACTTGGGGTATGTCTCTATCAGTTTTGCACATCAAGAGACTGAAATTTTTGCCCATTCCGCCTTGCAAAACAGCTCGAGCTCAGTGAGGTTGGATAGAGAGCGTTTGTGAACAGCAGTTTTCAGTTCTTCCCACAGATTCTCGATTGGATTCAGGTCTGGACTTTGACTTGGCCATTCTAACACCTGGATATGTTTATTTGTGAACCATTCCAATGTAGATTTTGCTTTATGTTTTGGATCATTGTCTTGTTGGAAGACAAATCTCCGTCCCAGTCTCAGGTCTTTTGCAGACACCATCAGGTTTCCTTCCAGAATGGTCCTGTATTTGGCTCCATCCATCTTCCCATCAATTTTAACCATCTTCCCTGTCCCTGCTGAAGAAAAGCAGGCCCAAACCAGGATGCTGCCACCACCATGTTTGACAGTGGGGATGGTGTGTTCAGGGTGATGAGCTGTGTTGCTTTTACGCCAAACATAACATTTTGCATTGTTGCCAAAAAGTTCGATTTTGGTTTCATCTGACCAGAGCACCTTCTTCCACATGTTTGGTGCGTCTCCCAGGTGGCTTGTGGCAAACTTTAAACGACACTTTTTATGGATATCTTTAAGAAATGGCTTTCTTCTTGCCACTCTTCCATAAAGGCCAGATTTGTGCAGTATACGACTGATTGTTGTCCTATGGACAGAGTCTCCCACCTCAGCTGTAGATCTCTGCAGTTCATCCAGAGTGATCATGGGCCTCTTGGCTGCATCTCTGATCAGTCTTCTCCTTGTATGAGCTGAAAGTTTAGAGGGACGGCCAGGTCTTGGTAGATTTGCAGTGGTCTGATACTCCTTCCATTTCAATATTATCGCTTGCACAGTGCTCCTTGGGATGTTTAAAGCTTGGGAAATCTTTTTGTATCCAAATCCGGCTTTAAACTTCTCCACAACAGTATCTCGGACCTGCCTGGTGTGTTCCTTGTTCTTCATGATGCTCTCTGCGCTTTAAACAGACCTCTGAGACTATCACAGTGCAGGTGCATTTATACGGAGACTTGATTACACACAGGTGGATTCTATTTATCATCATTAGTCATTTAGGTCAACATTGGATCATTCAGAGATCCTCACTGAACTTCTGGAGAGAGTTTGCTGCACTGAAAGTAAAGGGGCTGAATAATTTTGCACGCCCAATTATTCAGTTTTTTATTTGTTAAAAAAGTTTGAAATATCCAATAAATTTCGTTCCACTTCATGATTGTGTCCCACTTGTTGTTGATTCTTCACAAAAAATTACAGTTTTATATCTTTATGTTTGAAGCCTGAAATGTGGCAAAAGGTCGCAAAGTTCAAGGGGGTTTAAAGGAATACTCTGACATTTTGTGAATTACACTATTTGCCTTCTCACCAAGTGTTAGATGAAAAGATTGATACTACACCACGGCCAGGATTAAAAAAAAAAACTTAATAATAGCTTTGCTATTACATTTTGTTTTTGTGCAGGTTAAACACACGAGGTATTGTGTTTGCATTGCCAAGTTGTCTGTGTTTCTTGCCTCATTTTTAATGACCTCTTTAACCATGCTAAGGATTGCTATTTTTGTATGTTTCTGACTTATTGTTTATTGTCAGCCTACATCTGTTACTTGTTTTGTGTTAAAAAAAGCTCCCTGTTGTTAGAATTTGTGTTATTGGCTGGACACCTTTTGAGCAACGTCTTTTACCGAGCAAACTTTCAGTAAAGACTGAACTTAATTTTAGTCCTATTCCTGTCTAGTGTTGCAGCATCTGGGTCTTAAAGCAGCTATGGTTATTGTTCTCTTGTACAGAGAGACTAACACCCATTAGAGGAGGGGCTGATTAGAAATACACTATAATTTGACTTGATGTAGCACAGTATGGCTTCTCTGTCTCTTCCAGACTGAAGATATTGTTCAGGCAGCCTCCAGAGTTGGTTTTCTGGGCTTGGCATGGCCTGAGACAATGTACAGGCTTCATTTTGAAGATAATTGTCTGTAGCCTCCAGAAGAACATAATGGACAGGTAAGATGACACTCTTAACTAAATTCTCTTACTGCTGTGGTTTTTAAGGAACAACTTTCAACTCAACTGCATTTGAATCATCTCTGTGTTTTAGAGTTATGGCCATCATCCTGCTGTTGCAGTGGCTGGAAATTCATGAGCGTCCACGACGGCAGATGAACTCAAAACCCTGTGATTAGTTTTTCTCTTCTGAAAAGATGTGAGGCACAGGATTCTGCAAAGACTGCTCAGTTACACCGTATGTAAAGAAAGCCACTGAGTTTTTAAGCTCCAAAATGTAAACACTGTAGGCTTAGCACAGCTGATTAGATGAGGACAGGGGGTTTTGTTTTATTTAAGGGGGCACAGGGTGAAAAATCATGAGCTACCAAAGTTTGCTTCTTCCTGCTGGTAGCATGAATGTGCAAATATTGTGTGGTCACAATTAAGTTGTCATGAGATATGCTTGTTAGGAAACTGAAGGCTTGGCCTGATGTGCTCCAAAACTGCACATACGGTCACATCCACAGTTAAGGTATAACTGCTGACAACTATACAGTATAACTGTAAAAACAAAACAAAACAAAAAACCAAAGGTGATGCTCCTATTTGTTTTGTATAATGTATTTTCATCGTTCCTCATGTCGTAGCATAAAAAACCTTTATAAACATCTTTTTCTAGTGGTCAAAATGGAAAACATTTTTAATAGACAGAAGTACATTATTTGCTACAGATAGTAGAAAGATGAGAAAGGAAAGGAAGAAAGAGAAAATGGATGCCCAGGCAGACCTGAACTGGGCGTGTTGCTTATCACAAATTGCGTTTTATCCCTCAAGCTACATCACAAACTCATTTAGTAGTTAATCCACTTTTGCACTGCTGCCTGAATGGTAACATGTGTTTTCACAGACATGGAAGAGACCATTTGATCTCTGTGCTCCATGTCCTTTTCAAATAAATGGCATGTTACCTGCAAATAGATCTCCTTATATAATGAGTGTGGATGGATCATAGGGATAACACACACATCTGCTCCTGTCTGACACTAGCCACTGATCCAGCCTGTCAGCCAGCAACCAGCTGATTTTGTAGAGGCAGAGCAGAAACACTGTGTAGTATCCATGTCACTCAACACTGACACATGTACAACAGGTGTTCATACATTCAGGATATGCAGAAAAGAAAAAACGTTTCTTAAAACCAATAAACCGCGTTTAATTTCCTCTTCTCTTCTGTCCTTGTCACTCATCTCTTCTTCTGTTCTACCCCTGCAGTGTCAAAGGCCATAAATATTTGATTTGAGGAAATGAGTGACATGGCTAAAATTAGTACACTGGCTGTGCCCTGTTTCCTTTATGATGAAAGCTCTACAGGTACATGACCTTTTGACTAATTAACTAATCCTGGCAACAGGATGAACAGAGTGATGTGACGGCACACGAGCAGGGGGACATTTGAGATTAAGATACCGAGGAGGGAGGGGACAAGAGGTCAAGTGGGACTGAGGCGGGAGGGTTGTTGTCTATGTCTAACTGACAACTAATTAGTTTAACATGAATCAGACATAAAATACAAAGGGAAGGGAATTCAAAAAATGGCAGCAGTTGATATTGCAGCAACTGATCATTATATCATATGTGGCACACAGAGAAGGCCTGATAGTACACACTGAATAGTAGCCACACCTTGAATACACTGTGCTTTACTTATATTCATAAACTGGATCTGACTCTGAGGGTTTGATCTGCAGCTCCTCCTGTCCACATATCAAAGTGTTCTTGAGCAAGGCAATGACCCCAATAGCTCCCAAGGGTTAGGGCTGTGCACAGATGTTGACAGGTTTCACTAGAGAGAACATACATGCTTTAATGGATGAGTCTGCCTTTGTGTGTGTG